ATTCCTCAGAAAAGGAAACTTTTCTCTGATGTTGTTGCATAAATTCAGTGATAATCACGTTATATCCAATGAGAAGATGACGGTGACTTTTGTCGTGTTGAGGCTCCCAAGTTAAGTCAACGTGCAAACAAATCAGTAGAAAATCTCCTTGTGGTGGGTTATGATACTGTTAGAGCAGTGGTTCCCAATCCGGTCCTCAAGGACCCACAAACAGTCCAGGTTTTTGCTCCCTCCCAGCTCCCTGCCAATCAGTCCACATTTCTGCTCTCTACAGGGAGCTGGGAGGGAGCAAAAACCTGGACTCTCTGGGGTCACCGAGGACCGGATTGGAAAACATTGTGTTAGAGTGTAGAAAGAGGAAGGGGGGGGGTGTGCTTTCCCCTTTTTTTGTTTTTTTCAGATGTCACAAGCTCAGTCTCATTAATTTACATTTAATTTGTTTAGCTGATGCTTTTCTCCAAAGCAATGTACATGTTTGAGGGTCAGACAATCCCTGGAGCAATGAGGAGTGAAGGGTCTTGCTGAAGGACCCAACGGTGAAATCATTCTGCCAACTCTGGGATTTGAACCGACAACCAATTGCAGACACAGCTTCTTAACTCACGGAGCCACATTCTACCCCCCGAATAAATTAAACCTAGATGCAAACTTATGTGAAATTGTCAGAAAACAAAGACAGGAGTAGTAAGACGAACACCTCTGACTGACATTGTTTATCTGTTTTTCACGGTGAACTTGTGCATTCACACTCCGGCACGCACACACACACGCACGTGCCAGCCACTGGCCATCTGCGGCAGACTTTCCCTCACAGCGGCGTGTATTTACACACCAGCTCAGCAGTTTCGGTGTGTCGCCACGGCGATGATAACACGGCGAGCTCTCCGGTTCAGCGGGTGACAAACAGCCTCATCAGTCATTCTGGTCTGGATGCTTCACTCCACAACCCAGTGCTTCGCAGTGCCAGGAGGATAAACGACGGCCCCGCCCCCATATCAGGATGGGCGGGGCCCAAGCATACACATGCAGGCACACACAGGAATCTTATTCATATCTTTGTGGGGACTCCCCATTAATTTCTCTGATCATAACCCTAATCCTCACCATGACAACCATAATGCTTACCCAGCCCTGACCTTAACCATAAGTAACCAAACAAAATATAAGACTTTTAACAATTAAAGTTTTTTGATTGCTTACACACATTTTCACTAAATTGATGTTTATATTGTGGGAACTTGAAAAAATGCCCCCACAAGCTAAAAAGTAATAGGTTTTACCACGTTATCATTTATCACAATGTGACTATTACATGATCACACACACACACAGACACAGGCACACACACAAACGGATGGGATGACTTACAACAACCTTACTAACCTGCTGCTTCATCGCTCCCCCCAAGCCGAAAGCCCGACAGCAGAGGCAGGCCTGACGTTGACTCGACACTCTTTACCCACCTGATTAATGGCCCCGTGACGACCTACCCCAGCCCACCCCAGAGTGTCGCTGGTGTGGTTGGAGACTGCGGCGCCGCGTGGAGTCATTCATGTGCAGAATAGAGACTGAGGGAGCTGTGAAAGGCAGAACTTGCCGGGGTTATGACACCAGGCTAGACTGGCCCTGATTCAGTGTCACACCAGCTGTGTGAGTGACAGAGCAGCACAATCTCCTGCATCTGGCTCCTGCACAGACAGAAAAACTACAGAAATAACCCACTGGTTTCAATTACACAACCAACTGAAACATTTACTAGAATTGTAACGGAAACTCATGATACTCAGTCATTTCGGGGTTAATTAATGAATCAATCGGTCTGCCCAACAGCTTATACATAAATCCCTAAAATTAGGCAAATACACCCCATAATCCCTAATAAACCCTCAATACAAACCAATCTCCATTTAAGGCCACGGTTCCTACACGAACCAATCTCAACTCAGCATTTTAAATCCCTCTCTCAACCACCCCCCAGCCCATAATCCCAATGATTATTAAATTAGTTCTGGTCTTCTGCGCTATACATCTTGCTTGAAAGATGCCAAGCATGTTCTGTATCGACCGCAATGTAAAGCAGATTACCCTAGTGGTGGGATGAGGCACTGCATGGTTCACATTTGGTGTGGTGGAAGGGAAGCCAGCTCTCTGCTGTAAGAGGTGATACTTTCAAGAGCCTCCATAGCAAAAACTGTGTATCCTTTTCCTCTTATTCCGATGAACTTCCTAACTTCCAACCTAAACGGCCCTGCGCGGGCTGCACCTGTCTCCAACAGCACCACAACCCAGGATAACACCGCTGCCTTTCATTTTTTTATATTGACATCTACCCTACCGTACCCTCTAGCCTCTACATACCGAAGCGTGTGTTTTATTATTTTAATCAGATGTTGTGAGACACAACAGAGAACAAACACTGCAGTGAGGCCCTGTAGAAGGTCGGCGTGGTGACGCAGGTCACCGGATACAGTATCCTAACAAGCATTTCGGAGAACTACAACAACAGAATGCAAACGTTTCAGATGCAACAGCTGACATTTTGGGAGGCCAGACAAGGGAAACTGAAAAGTCCATTCAGGGTGCAAAAGAACAGGCATTTCAATAATCTGCACACAATGCTCGCTTTGTCCCTTTTGTTTTGAAGGTCACAAACAAGCTTCCATATATTCTGCCTGAAAATTATATTTGTAATTAACTCTCGCGCAGAGCATCAAGATGAGAGTCCCCGAGCGGTAGCCTGGTACCGGCAGCAGGGTGCGAGGCACATGAATGGCTGAACGCGGGACCGGTGTGGATGACAGTGACAAACGACATGTATTGGGGTGGAGGGAGGGAGGGGGGGCAGACGACACACCACTGTCACCGTTAATGTAGGGTGGACGCTCGGCGAATCAACAGGATTACCAATCGCAGGACTTGAGAGTTGCAATCACCGCTACTGGCAATATTTGTTGAGTGCACAAATATAAATAATGGATTTAAATAACTGCTTCTGTTGACTCCTTAATGTTATACATTTTTTAAACCAAAAACAAAACAGGCTGTGGGATAGACCCTTACGGCGTCTTTGGTGTCATCAAAATGGCTGAAAAAACACGTGCATTTTGAAGCAGGTGTACCAACCGTGGCTGAAACAACATGACTGGCCGGAATCTTTAAAAAGCCCCAGTGGCGCGTGTGTCTTAACAGTAACACTATTAAAAACCAATAAGAGTCCCAGTACCCTGAAGCACCAGTTCGGCTTGTAAACATGTAGGGACTATGAGAGCTTTAAAGTCAGCTCTGGCTGTGCTACTGCTTCCTATTTGAATTATAACAAGTGTGGCCTCTTCCCATCAATGGGGATAGGAGTCCAGGGCAGACTGACTTGGGGAGATTAATCAGCACTCCTCAGGGTGTACGCCTCCACATCACTAAAGAAGCTGCACATCCCCTTTTTGGAAAAAGGCTGAAGCGTATATGTGCTCTGGCTACTGCTTGTTCTGAGCTATTAAACAGTCAACAAATATATATATATATATAAACTCTACACAGTGGCACACAGTACACATTTTTCCATATGAATGCAGATGAATGTAATCTCAGATGAAGAAATAAAAAAGCACAGAGCAAGCCCTTGTTGACTGAGGTCCCAAAGAGGAGCTCTTTAAATTCTATACTTATTGTTAATATGGTCTACACCACAGAGGGATCATTTGCATCGGCTAAGTCAGACTCTGTTAGTCCTACCCTGTCTGTTTTTCCTGCCTTTGCTCCAGATGTCTGTATGTATTATGTTGGCTAAGCCTATATCGTTCATGCATCAAAAAAGCCTTTATTTATATTATTTATATCTTTAGAAGAGAGCAATGATACAATAGTGAATACAACGTTAAACGTGTGTGTGTATGTATATATATATATATATATATATATATATATATATATATATATATATATATATATATACACACACAACAACAACAACAACACACTGCTCACTTGTTAACGCGAGGACTGAAATTGTTAACGCGACACTGTCTTTTCCTTTCACCCATAANTATATATATATATATATATATATATATATATATATATATATATACATATATATATAACTATACACACACAACAACAACAACAACACACTGCTCACTTGTTAACGCGAGGACTGAAATTGTTAACGCGACACTGTCTTTTCCTTTCACCCATAAAAGACACGCCATCGGACATCTTCAAACTTTCGGTAGCTACTTGTAATGTGATGTATTTCATTGGCAGCCGGCCGCCCCTCTCCCCGCAGCGGCTGCGCACACAGCAAACTCCAAAGATACAAAACGAACAAACAAACAAAATAACGCACCCGTCCTTTTCATAATGGGGACACGGTATTTTTAAATATATATTTGAGGTTTAAGCTTCCTCTCTGATAAGTTTTTTTTGTTTTTCTCTGCAACCTGTTGAAAGTGAAGTGAGCAGTATGAAGGTTATTTTTTAGTCATTTCTCCTTCCCCAGACCGCGTTGCTGGAAGTTGCCCGATATGTTTTGCGAGAATATATGTCTGACCTCGATATCTTTCTTTTGCAGGGTATATGCAAATGTAACGAATAGGCTGTCTGTCTTTCTGTGGTGTCCCCTGCTCCTATATTGTTCAACACGTCCCGATTCCTCCGCATGAGCATTTAATCAGACACACATCAGGAATGCGACATATAACCGAACATATACAACACATTGAATCTAGCATTATTATTGATACTGTATGGCTACTTCCATTGTAATGCGATCACGGTGTGGTGTGTTTAAATGCTTAGTCACATAACTATCTACTTCACAGGAACTAAAAGTGGACATTATTCCTAGAAATAAATTGCTGTTAACTGGGACACACGCGCAGCAATATACTCCAGTCGCATCAAAACAACATCGACCATTAAAAAGTCCCAAGCGGCAAATGTAACTCCATTCCTCTTATCAACCACGACACACAGGCAATGACTCGGTGTTTTTATACCCTTACCTTCTGGATGTGAAGTAATACACTACTGATCGCATCCCCTCTCAAATATCCACGTAGGAACTTGCACAAATAACGCGAAGTTTAGTTAACGCCATCATTTACTGCTGGATTATATTTCTTCCGTTATGTTTGTTTTTCCTTATTCTCATTCAGATATTGTCTGTCCACGCATTGCAGTTAAATAGTTCATGTGTTTTCTTTTTGGGCTCCCTGCCGTCCGCCAGACCTAATTCCAAAGGTGTCTCACTGCGAACTTCGCGACGTCCCGCACAGTGAACACGAACCATCCGCCTCATAAAGAAATAGGCGCCGCCCCATGCTAATTAACTGGAAACACCAGAGCTATCACTTTCAGGTATAAACAAAAGATCTAGTAACGTACAAAATTTTGCATCAAATATAGGGGATAAAAATCCCAACGCAGCAAAATAATATCAACTGAGCGAATCACATAAACACACGCGCTAATAATGGGGTTGCAAAGTCCAAATACCACGCGCATCCATATTTCCGATTAGCAACACAGAAAAATACTAGTCACGGTTAAAGTTAAGAGACTAATTTGAATATTCCAAATGAATGCCTAGAACTCCGTAGCCGTAGCAAAGTCAATGGGAAAAGGGGGTGTTATGAAAGGGAATTCAATCCACTGTGCGTTTGTGGAAACATTCCTCTTAGTGAATATGCCTTTTGTGCAAATCCCTAGTCAAAGACAGACCTTGTCACTATACTAATCTGATTCTCAACGTGGTAGGGTGATGTGATGATGTTTCAAATGGTTTTGAGTAAAATAACGTTGGGTAAAATAATTATTGATATGTGCTCTCCCCCCATCCATTTCTGTCTGTCGGTGTGTGTTTGTGTGTGTGTGTGTGTGTGTGT